CTTCGTGCACTTCGCATTGCCCTCGGCGTCGCTGATGTAGAGAACTGTTTCCACCGTATGATTATGCCTCCGTGGATGAGTCGCATGTTCTCCTACGAGCCCGTGCTCGCCGCGGAGGTTGATCCCGCTGGGCTGCCCCTGGTCGACGGCGACGTGGCCTCAGGGAGCACCCAAGTGTGGCCCGCCGCACGCCCTTTGCCGATGGGCTTTGCTTGGGGCCTCTACTTCTGCCAGAACGCCAACGCCAGACTCTCGGGCAGCGTGCCGCTCCTTCACCGCGCCCGCCTGCTGTCGGATCGCGGGGAGTCCGCCTTGTTCGAGACAGGCGCCCCCGTTACGGACCTCTGGCGGTGCGTCTACGTGGGCAACCTCGGGGTCTTGGGCAGGGGCGCCGACACGGTGGGCGCCGCGCTCTCGGAGCAGGTTCAGGTCTTTGGCGAGAACGGGTTGGACATCCACGAAGTCGAACTCTTCACCGAGAAGGGCTCCGCGCTGGGGGTTGACCTCGATGGCTCGCGGCTTGCTACCCTTCTCACATCGAAGCGCCGGTGCAGGATCGAGAGGGGGCTGCTCTACCTCCTCCAACGTGGCCGAGCCAGCGGGCAGATGGTGGAGAGCATCCTCGGGCACTGTACCTATGCCGCCCTGATCAAGAGAGAGACCATGGCTGTTTTCGCGGCTTCGTACGCTTTCGTGCACGCCACTTGCGCGAAGGACATCCAGCTTTGGGACTCGGTCAAGGCGGAGTTCGGTGCTTTCTTGGGGCTGTTGGTGTTTATGCGGGGCGATTGGTGGCTGCCGTGGAACAGGGGCGTCACTGCGTCCGACGCGTCCCCCGAGGGCTTCGGCATCGTGAGCTCGCGCTGGTCGTCCCGTGATGTGGCGAGTGTCGGGCGAGTCCGAGAGCGAGGTCGTTTTCGCCGCGGGGGGCCGATCGCCCCCCGGGACTCCGCCATGGCAGCCGCTGGGTTCGTGCTCGAGGACGGCGTCTGGCGGCCGCGCGCGGAGGAGGAGCTGGAGGAGGGCTGGTCCATCGTGGAGGGGTTCCCCGAGGTGCCGGCTCGCCTCCTCCATCCTGAGGGCTGGCGAGTGTGCCGTGCCGGCGCGTGGGGGCGCCCGGGGCACATCACTTTGCTGGAGGCGCGCGCGCTCCTGGCCTCAGTGCGGCGGCTTGCTCAGGTCGCCGTCGGCGGCAACCGCAGGCACCTCCACCTCTGCGACAACATGGGCGTCGTGCTGGCTGTGAGTCGGTGCCGCTGCCGGGGCTTCATGCTGCTGACCGTCCTGCGCAAGCTCACTGGATTCCTGCTGGCTCGCAATATTAAGCTTCGCGTGAGGTGGGTTCCCAGCGAGCTCAACTTCGGTGACGAGCCGTCCCGTATCTTTTCAGAGAAAGCATCGTCGTCTCTCGCTGGGGTCATTCCCGACTTCGTGCGACGGGCGCGGCCGCCCCAGGCCCAAGCTGATGAGCGCCAGACGGAAGCGCCGGCGGACCCTTGCCGCGCTGGCGCCGCCGTATGTGGACGCCCGGAACGCGGGGCCGGCGTCTGGGAGGAGGACGAGGACGGTGGCGGCGGCAAGGCCGCGGCTGCAGGGCCGCACGGTCGCGGAGAGAGGACCTCGGGGGGCGAGGCGGCTCTCGCCGCGCGCGCCGCTGGAGGAGCTGCCGCTACCGGGTCCGCCCCGTCGCCAGACCCTCGAGGAGTGGGCCGACCAGGTCGCGCGCAAGGGGAAAGGCGACTACGTCGAGAAGCGCGTCACTCAGAGGCAGCGCACCTCGAGCTCCTCCAGCACTGGGCCCGCGTCAGAGGGCCCCGGTCGGGCCGCTCGCCGAGAGACGACGCTGGCCGCGCGCTCGAATCGGCTACTCTGGAGCTACCGCGAGAAGAGGTCCAGGGCCAAGGGCGACGGGATCACTCCGCTCGAGGAGCGGGTTGTCTCGGACAGGGTCCATCCCGAGCACAAGCTCGAGGTGGTGGTTTTCAAGACCTTCGCAGCCGTGCGGGGCCCGAACGTGGGGCGCGTCGAGGCCGCCGCCGTGGGCGCCGTATTCGCGTCATGCCTCGACGTCCTCCTTCAAGGGTTTGCAGCCGTCCGTTGGGGCGAAAGCGCTGGCTGGCAGGATCCACCTCCACCCGGCCTACGGATACAAGGGCTCCCTGAAGCTGCGCCGCGCCTGAGGGGCGCTGCGGGGCCGGCGGAGGCTGTGCCCGGGGCGCCTTTTCGGGCCGAAGAGATTGGGCGTGTGGAACGGGCTCGGGAGCGTCTCGTGCCACCTCAGCCGCCCTCGGATGACTGTGTTCGTGGTCTTGACCGCTTCGGTGATCGGTGCGCCCGACCTCTTGCCTTAGACGCGGCACCCTGGGCCGAGCGTGGACAGAGCGTGAGGCTCGCGCCCCCTTTTAGAGGTGAGCGCGAGCCAATGGAGGTCGAACGAGAGTGTGGCTCGCTGCCAGAAGCACGTGAGGCTGTCCGACCCGTCTCACCGCCACTCGACCGTGCTTCAGGCGTACTTTCGAGAGTGCAACTTCGCGGCGTGGAGATCGTCCTCCACGCGCAGCTCGCGTTTTCCCATGTTCGGAGCGCAGCTGATGCAGGACACTTACGTTGCAGACACCTTTGCTGGCCAGGGCGGAGTCGCCAGAGCTTTGCGACGAATTGGCTTCCAGGCACGGACCTGGGAGATCGCGCGCGGAGAGCGCGGCGACCTCACCTCCGCCCGCGTTCTAAGGACGCTCCTGTCGGACGTTCGACGCGGTCGGTGTCTCGGGGCGATGATTGCACCTCCATGCAGCAGTTTTTGCATTGCACGCATTCGCACGGCACCCATCCGATCCTCGTCGCGGCCGTGGGGGTTTTCAAGGAAGGAGGTCAGTTTAAAGGACTGGGCGAGACTCAAGGAGGGTAACAAGTGTTGTAGAGCTTCCCTTGCTATAATTCGCGAGTGTAACGCCGTTGGTGCCCCGTGGATTCTGGAGAACCCTTGTACTAGCTATATGTTTTAAAACCAAGAGTTCCAGCGCCTGGCCTCCTCCCCCTCGGCGACGTCTCTGAGGATAGATTTCTGTCAGTTTGGTACTCCCTGGAAAAAGCCCACCACTTTGTTGTGCGGGAACATCCCCGTCCAGGATCTCGAGGGGCTTTCGCGGCAATGCCGGGGCACCAGGGGCGTCTGTAGCCGAACGTGTTGCAAGCATGTTATTCTGTCAGGAGCGGCTCCGAGTGGCCAACGGTGGACGCATGTGGCTCAGTCCTATCCACAGCAGCTCAATCGAGCGCTGGCCCGTGCCCTCGTTGCCCCTCTGCGAGCCAGATTCTTTCATGCCTGAGTCACATCCACTGCTGTTTCGGGATGCGTTGGGGCGTATTTCGAGCGGAGGCTTCGCTGTGCCTCATTTTGTGTGCTCGGCCTCTCGCTCCCAGTCTCATCGCGATGACTATGCACTGTTCTCGAAGACGGATTTCCGCAGGCGCCTCGCCAGGAAAAGTGAACAGGCTCCTCAGGGCTCTGTGGTAGTGTATCTCGCCAGGCTCGCAGCCCCATAGGAGTGCGTGCACAGGCATGGGGGGGGAGAGCAGCTTGTCGCCTTCCACGCTTATTCAGTTCGCTCATTGCTTTGCTCTGCAGTCTTTTTGGCTCCCGCCCGCGCCGCCCTTTTCGCTGTCTTATGTAGCAGGGACGTATTTCGAGCGGAGGCTTCGCTGTGCCTCATTTTGTGTGCTCGGCCTCTCGCTCACAGTCTCATCGCGATGACTATGCACTGTTCTCGAAGACGGATTCCCGCAGGCGCCTCGCCAGGAAAATGGAACAGGCTGCTCAGGGCTCTGTGGTTGTGTATCTCGCCAGGCTCGCAGCCCCATGATGATGATGATACTGATGATGCTGATGATGATGATGCTGATGATTCTGAGGATGCTGATGATGCTGATGATGATGCGGATGATGATGATGCTGATGATGATGATGATGGTGGTAATGATGATGATGATGGTGATGCTGATGATGATGATGGTCATGGTGGTGGTGATGATGCTGCTGATGATGAGGAGGAGGATCATGATGATGATGTTGATGCTGCTGCAGATGATGATGATGACGATGATGATGAAGATGCTGAGGATGATGATGAAGATGAAGATGACTATGCTGATGCTGATGGTGATGCTGATGATGATGATTCTGATGCTGACGATGATGGTGATTATGCTGATGATGATGCTGATGGTGCTGATGATGCTGATCATGATGGTGATGATGATGCTGATGATGATGATAATGACGACGACGACGATGATGATGATGCTGTTGATGGTTGTGATGATGATGATGATGATGACGGTGATGGTGGCTATGACGCTGACGATGATGACGATGATAATGACAATGGCGATGATGATGACGATGACGATGACGACGATGATGATGATGATGATGATGATGATGACTGATGCTGATGATGGTGATGATGGTGATGATGATGATGGTGGTGGTGGTGGTGGTGGTGGTGGTGGTAGTGGTGGTGGTGGTGGTGATGGTGGTGGTGGTGGTGGTGGTGATGATGATGAGGAGGAGGAGGAGGAAGAAGGAGGAAGGAGGAAGGAGGAGGAGGAGGGCGGAAAAAAAGGAGGAGGAGGAGGAGGAGGAGGAGGAGGAGGAGGAGGAGGAGGAGGAGGAGGAGGAGGAGGAGGCATAGGGGAGGGACACATCGACCCCCAATCGTCCACTGATCGCCGATAGGTGCCCAATAGCCCCACCCCGCCCAGGAAGGTGCGGTTTCGTTATCGGGGGCCCATCGCCGATTTATCGACGATGCATCGCCGATTCCGGGTCGATGCATCCCCCCCAATGCCAGTCCCCCTTATCGTTGTCCCTCAATTGGTTTGTCAAGGGTCGGCGCATCAGTTGGCGCCCCCACCCTCGAGAGGAGGAGGTGTCGGCGTCGGACCTCACCTCGACGACGGATGCGCACCCCGTGGAGGTGAACTCGGCCCGCTTCAAGATGCAGTTCCACAACAATCCCGTTGCGCGGCCGCGCGTATCCGCCACCGTGCTGCAGTGCCCCCCAGCGAAGAGGGTCCCGCGGCCTGTCGCCACTGTCGCCTGCTCTTGGGGGCGTTCCCCTGGGCTTCTCCGCGGGCGCAACCGACGATGCATAGCTTTGCAGTCTAGGCTGGGCTGGGCCAGACGTGCGGCACATGGTTCTCGGAAGAACACGGGAGCGTGCAGTTTTGATGATTGGTGAGAATTGTGGTGCGCGCGACACAGGGTCTTACGACCGCAGGATCGGAACGATGCCCGCCAAGGCGTGGACCAGCAGAGTTTGGTCTCAGGAACCGAATGGGACATCCCAAAGCTTGGTGGCGTATGTTGCGCAGAACCGCGTAAACGGTGGAGTAATGGTCTTTGTGTTTTCTTTGCGCCACACTCGGGCACACGGGCAAATTGTTTCACCAAGCGCGTGGCAGAGTGTAGCAGCGATGCACGGTGGTGCTCTTTGCCAGATCACTGCTGCCATATTTCGGTGGGGGAAATGAGATGGGGCAGGCCTTCTCAGAAGGCGGCGGGGCTTCTCATGCGCCCTCGCGCTTTCTGAAACTTCTTCTGAGCCTTAGAACCCCTCAGAATTCCCGAGGCCTTCGGAGCCTGCTGAGAAGGCCCGCCCTTCTCACTCCCCTGGGGCTCGCTCCCTGCACCGGTTCCTGAAGTATTTCGTCCACGATTTTTATTTTTACATGGTATGAGGCCGTGGCCTCATGAGCCCTGCCCAACAGGGCACGGGTACACTTGTGTGTTGCATCCGGCGCCTTCGCTTTTCGCTTCGCTTCCCTGGTTTCGCTGCCGAATGTATCTATTGTTTCGCAAAGCAGCGCAGCGGCGCTTGCCCACCTTCCCCGCAAAGCGGGCGCTCCTTTGCCTAGACGGATTTCGACGTCTCTGACTCCTGCTCTGGGACCGTCGGAAGCTGGTCCCGGGGACCAACCCCCCCTCTCTGACTCCTGCTCTGGGACCGTCGGAAGCTGGTCCCGGGGACCAACCCCCCCTCCCGCTCTCCTTCGTTCGGACGGGGCCAGGACGAGGATAAGTCCGTTCTAGAGCGTTCCAGAAGGTTCTGAGAAGGCCGCTGCGCCTGAGACATCTCCTAGAGCCGCCGGATCTCAGAGATTCTCATTCCATCCACATCCGAGTTGATCCTCGTCCTGGCTTCGTCTCCCTTGTGCCAGCCCGCCAGGGGCTGTTGTCGTCGTCGCCGTCGAAGGGTAGCATAATCATGAAGCTTTGCTCGACAGCAACAGACCAAAGACTCTAATTTTAGGTCGGGCATGTCCTACAGGCGGATTTTGGACGACAAATGCAAAATAGTGAATCAAATATGCAAAAGTAGCCCAACATAATCGAAAAACAGCGCCCCCAGACAATTTTTTGACTTTTTTTGAATCTTCTTCCTGTAGAGAGGGACATGCCCGACTTAATTCTAACTCGATCGCCCGGGGGCCGAGGGAGGAAGGTGGCCGTTCGTGGGGAAGCCCGGGGCGCGGGCCGCACGGAGGAGGAGGGAGGAGGAGGAGGAGGGGGAGGAGGAGGGGGAGGGGGAGGGAGGCGGAGCCGTGCGCCGTCTCGGGGGGCGGCCTCGGGGCCTCGGGGCCGTCTTCTGGGGGCCGCCTCGGAGGCCGCCCCGGAGCCCACCTCGGGGCCGCAGGACCACCACCCACCAGACCACCCCCGCCCAACGCGAAGGCCTCCATCGGTTCTCGGGGGTTGATAGACCTCCTGCCCTGACACGTCCATTGGTGAATTGGCCGTTTTCGGTTGGCGAGAGGGTGTCGCAGGCGTCATTTTTGCGGGTCCAGGTCCGTCGGTTTCGGTTCTAGGCCGTTTTCACTAAAGGGTGGTTTATTACAGGGAGGTTTGTCCACTGCCGAGGTTCTCCATTTCCAGTGGGGGGTGGGTCTTCGGGTCGGGTTGGGGTGGTCTGGTAGGTATAGCCTCAGGAGGGGAAAGTACACAGACACATGGATTTTCGATCCCCAAGAGAAGATATGGGAAGTAACGGGGGGGAAGACGAAACTTTAAAAACTATGGGAAGTCAGGGGAATCTTGGGATTTGTGTGTATTCATTTGTGTGTCCCTGGGCCCCTTCATAGTCACAGTATGGGCGCACGCCGCACCAGCTGCGGCGCCGCGGTGCCGCGGCGGGGCGGAGAATTCCGTGACGATGAAGCCCGACCTGTGCTTCGCGGCGCGCGGGGCGCTGTACCTGGTGGCGTGCGCGGTGATCGTCCGAGCGCAGTCGTTAGGAAGGAGGGGGAGGAGGAGGAGGAGGAGGAGGCGGAGGAGGAGGAGGAGGAGAAGGAGGAGCAGGAGGAGGAGGAGGAGGAGGAGGATCTGATCTGATCTGAGCTCTGGGAAGCAAGCACTCTCCGAGACAGTGCCACAGCCAATCGAACTGAGTGAGGCGATCTGGGCGGGAAATGAGCTCCTGAGATGGCATCTGCGGATACCCACTGGCAACACGGTGCAATGACAATCGAGCTGCACTCTGCGCATGCAGCACTGGCGAGGCCAACACCCGCACGGGCACGCGACCCCCCACTGGGGCTGGCACGCACGGCACAGGCATCAAGATCGATCCAGGTCCCCCTCAGCCCCACCCGTACGACCACTACCCCGCCCCCTCCCCATTCTCGGTGGCGGCATCGCTGGCATCGCTGGATTAGAGCAAATTTGGATCGTACCGCTGGATTGGCTCGCCGCCCTCAGAGGGGCATCAGGTGGTACAATACCTCTGGCCACCAGCTGCTGGAATCGAACTGACTGCATTATCACTTCTGCTTGTCGCCGCGCGCCAGGAGCATCGAGAGACCGCGCTCGAATGGGCCCCTCGGCTGCGGGCCTGGGAGGTACCCCCCCTCCAGGACCACCCGGTGCTCGAAGCACTCGATCAACAGCTGGCCGATCTTCATGTCCGAGTTGAACTTCCAGTAGAGCGTCGCGATCTGCCTCTTGCCCTTCTCCTTCCTCTGCGGCTTGCACCTGAAGTGAGCCACCGCCCTCGCCAAGGGGCGCCAGTCCTTCTCCTGGTTGACTGCGTCCAAGACGGCCTCGAACTGCATCTGTAGTTTCGTCTCTGCTTCCTTGTCATCGCCCTCCGCCACGGTGTGCGTCGCCCCGTATTTGATGGCCGCGAGCACGATGTGGACGTGCGGGGGGCCGCGGCTCTTGAAGTCGACCACCTCGGTCTTGGCGAGCTCGCGCAGCTTCAGACTGTGGTCGTCGTAGCTCTTGCCCTCCGCGCAGCACGCCGCCACTAGGTCCGTGTCCATGCCCACGGCGTACTTGAGGAAGACGTTGGCCACGATCTCTGCCGCGTCGTGCACGTTGGTGAGGAGCAGCTTGCCCATCATGTTGGATGCCTGCTCCTGCTCCTCCTTCTCGTCCTTCTTGCGGCTGCCGCCTGCGCCGCGCCGTGCCTCCTTGGGTTTGCCGTCCTCCTCCCCGTCGTTGCCCTTGCTGAACCAGCCAGGCATGAGGACGTCGTCCGCTGCGGCGCTCATGTTCACCGCCGTGCTCGAACGGCTGCAGCTGGATGGGGCGATGCGTGCAGAGGTGCTGACAGAGGTTGTCCAGACTTGAGCCCACATTGGAACAGATCTGACACGCCAACGAGGCCAGTGGATCAGCATCCATCTTTATAGAAATCGGACCTGCCGTGCAGCAATGACCACGCCTGAGGGACCCCCTCAAATGACGAGCCGCATTCGAAGCACAACCGAACACCTGGTGACAGTGGATACGTAGGTTAGAAGGCGCCAACACGTGGCAGAGGTCCCGAATGTGGTGAACTTGGCGGTAGTGATTCATCAGGTCCCGTCGGTCTTGAACGCAACCTTATGCGTGGCAATCTCCCTGTCCTGGACCGACTCTAGGGCCGATACCCCTCCAGGTTTTGTTTCCCGCGGCAATAGGGGCAGCCCGCAGACGAATGGCATCTCCTCCTCCACCAGATCAGAAGCGGACCCAGGATCAGAATTGTCCCGACCGCGACCGCTTAGCTCGCAACCCGAATTGTCACCATGAAAATCAGGAGGAGGAACTCTTCTGGAAACATGTCGAGCACGGAGCTCCGTCATATCTATCTCAAACTCCTCCGCCCTCTCCTTGTGCCCCAAGATCCCCATGTTCTCCGCCACCTCCCCCAGAGCCTGTATCCTTAGAACATCAGCAGCCTGGCGCAGGTCCTGGTGAACTTGTTTAACCCATGGGGAAGAGTATTGTGTGGGTAAGCCCGCGAGCAGCTTGTAGCGAAAGCGGTCCGCCCCCATCGATCCGAACAGGCAGCAAAGCGGCCGAGCGTGCAGAGAAGGATCTTTAGCCTAGGCTTGGTACATCTTCAACCTTCTGATGCGCAACTCCACAGCGGAGGGGGCAACCTTCCAATACCAGAGGATATGCACCGTCGAGAGACATCGAACTCGCCCTTCCTCGTCCTCGTGCGAAGCCCTCCCCGCCAATGCCCTTCTACCCCATGCAGCCAACCCTCGAGTCGAGCATAGTCTCGAATCCCAGGGACGAACGCCTCCAAGCCACTACCAAGCGCGTTTTGTGCAACTCCCAGAAGAAGACGCCGTTTAAACTCATAGCGCAGCTGAAGACCCCACATCCCACCCAGACTGAAGAACGAAGCCCGAAACGCCCGAATCCATCGAGACACCTCCTGAGCAGGCAGGGCGCTCATCGTCGAATACGGGCCGAGGTAGCTAACTGCATCCTTAGCGTACCCTTGAAATCGTGATGACGTGGCTTGAGGGCCTGCTTACTCCAAGTACTACGATTGCCGAAATAGAAGAGGAACTCTTGTTTACTGAGATTCTGGCCATAACCGAAGGCCCCTAAACACGAGCTAAGACCAGCGTCCACTTTCCCCAACTTCGATACAAGCTCAGAGAATGTCGAATTCACATTAGCTAGAGCCGTCTTATTGATATCATCGGCGCACTTCAGTAATGACAAGTCCGCTCGCAGCACTCCCCATGTGGCACGCAGTTCACCAGCACGACGATCCCACTGTGTGAGATCCCATGCCCACGATGTAGCAGGTCTCGAGAACGTAGCCAAGAACAGCGAGGCAATGGACGAGTCCCCCATCGTCCCCCCCTGAAACGGTTTCACCATCCATTTACCATCACAAGAGGGGAGACCATCCACCGAATACTCAAAACGTTGACGGCAAAGGACACGGTCATGATCAGAAGCATGTTGTTCAACCGAGTCAGACATCGCCTCATATGTATTGCTGGAGAAGGCGTTCGACATATCTTTTAGAACAAGTGCATTGGTACGGCCAACGAACTTCAGTCTCCACGATGTGTTAAGGGCAATTAAGATAGTGTTCTCTCGCCGGCGGCCACGGACGACTCCATGGCCAGCAAGAGTGGGAACAGGGTGTAAACGTTCAGCATAATAGCCTTTACCGTGCACAGGGAGGGTGTGAACAGCTCGTTTCCCTAGTGGTCTAGGTTTTGCGCTTTTGTGTAGAGCTGCTATTGCGCTGCGATGCCAATAGAGTAGTGCTTCTTGATGTTTGTGAACTCTGTGAAAGCCAGCTAGCATACACTAACATAACCCAGGAACGCTAGGAGCTGAAGCATCATGGCCCAGGCCCCTCCTCGATTTATCCACACGCCATTTGGGGAATGATAAAATATGGAAGAGTTCAAGCGTACAAGTCCCCTCAGGTACAGCACGTCGTTTGGGAGCGTATAGCACGTACTTCTTAAAATCCGCAAGGTCCTGCTTTGCCAACTCCGCGAGGGTGGGATCATCGTCGTCGCTGTACTCATCCTCCTCATCCCTCTGCCCTCTCCAACCCCCCCAGTCCAACTTCTCCACAATCATACCTCCCTCCATACCTGGTTTTCCCAGATACAAAGCCAGTCCTGTGAAGAAGGCAGCGAACGACTTCCTGCCAGACGCGTGTCACGTCGCTTAGGACCGAATCGACATCTGGCCGCTCGTCTGGCTAGTTTCATTGCTTCCGCCGTGCGCTGCTGGTTCCACCGCTCATTAGCTTCCGCCAGGAGCGTATCCCTGCGATTCCGAAGTTGTTGGCGCCTGTCCTGTTGGAGGGTCCTCGAGAGCAGCCTGAGTTCCTCATCACTAGCAGAAACCTCGTCCTCGCTCGCGTACACTGTGCCACCCCGAACCTCCACCCGACGACGAAGAAGATCACGACGTCGAAGACAGTCTCAGCTATACCCTTCTCGAATATATTTTTCCTTCAAAGAGGACCTTACATGCTCGAATAACGGCCGCCTCGAGGAGGAGGAGAAGCAGGAGGAGGAGGAGGAGGAAGCTGACATGGGGTCGGAGTAGATGGGGTCGGAGTAGATGGGGTCGGAGGATCGCGCCGCATCGCCGATGCATCGCCGATGCGGCGCGATGCGTAGCCCGATTTCCTCCACGCCGACGTCGCCGATACATCATCCACGTCGATGCATCGCCGGTGCATCGCCGATGCATTGCCGATGCATCGCCGATGCGGCGCGATCCTCCATCCCCATCGACTCCGACCCCATCTAGGAGGCCTCTAATTCAGTTAGGCTTTTCGTTTTGGGGACCTTCCCGGGGCCCACCTAGCGGATCTGGTCGACTCCCGTCAGGCTCCAGTTCGAATCCAGTTTGACTGTTGTTCGACTCTGGCTCGACTCTGGTTCGTATGACGTTCGATTCAAGTCGATTGATATCCAGCGCAGCATCGACGCATGCGTGGAGCGAGCGGCTCCAGGAAGGTTCCCAGAACGAATATCTAACAGTCGTCGTCGTCGTTGTTCCTCGTGAGCGGCCAGGAAGGTCCTCGTCGCCACGGCTGGGCGCAGCTCGGAAGGCTGGCCAGGGTGGACTCCGAGATGGGGTCTGGGGGCCCGTTTGGAGCGGCTTTGGGCCGGGCCAGGGGTGAGTCGTGGTCGGCCAAGAGGATGGTGATGACTAGGGGGGGGTGGAAATCATTGCGGGTGGTCATGATACTTTTCTAATTTTATTGCGCCTCTTCTCATTTCAATGCGTCCCTGGCCCCCCCCCCCTGGGCCGTGCACATGCCGCTGGCCATGATTTGCGCCCATCCCCTCTTGGACGCCCCCCTCTTGGCCGCCCCCGAGTGAGGGGGCTGTCCGTGCTGAGACGACAGGGGTGGTTCCAAATCGAAGCAAACGGCATAAACATAAGAGCTTTGGAAGGAACGCGCAAATTTCTCGGATCGGCGCTGGTCCTCCTTTCTGGCTCGCGAAACGCGCTGGGGACGGCGCCGGAGCGCCAGGGAGGGTGTCCAGCGCTGGTCCAAGAAGTCCGCGCTATGCCGCTTTTTGCTCGTGTATTAGGAAAGCGCCCATAGGCGTTTGAAAGGACTTCTCAGAAGAAGGCGAGATATGAGCAGCCCTCCTCGCCTTCTTCGACGGTCGCCCCCTCGCCCCACCCTGCGTGCACGCAGCCCAGGTGAACACGAGCACCTACCAGGACGGCTTCAACTTCAACCCCGGCCAGGAGGTTGCTGGCCCGCCCTTCAACGACCGCTGCATCGCCGTCACGGGTCGCTGCGCGTATGCCTGCATGGAGCAGCAGACTCCGAGGTTTGAGGGGCTTCCGAGCCAAAGAGGGTGCAGTCACGACACCTGCACTTCGCCAATCACATCCTGCATCCTTCCATTTGCCAGGCTCACACGTCCAGTTCCACTGGCCAATTGCTGCAACTTGCACGCCTAATGGGATTGATCCTGACCTTGCATCCTCATGACTGCCCAGGCTGTAGGGCTACGTACCCAAGTCTGGTCAGGGCTTTTCCGTTTGACGGGGATCCCAACCAGACTTGGATGCCCTCTCGCTGGTTTGGCTGGGGCGCCCTGACTCCCAGGTTGCACAAGTGCATGGACGGCATGATCTCGGCAGACGACCTGGTCGAGTCCCCGGAGGAGTTCGAGCCGCCCGTCAACGACGGCATGGCCGTGAACAGCTTCATGTTTGTGCTGCTGCTTGGCTTCGCAGTGAAGCTGGTGACATACTTCCCAGGCCTCTTCATTCCCTATAAGCACTCGAAGACATACAGCCCGGAGATGACCGACGAGCTCAAGTACATAGCCGTGTGCTGCCCCAGCGGAGGCGAGTCGAAAGCCGTCGTCTTGCGAAACCTGGTCGGCGGCATCTCTGGCATGCCGAAGAACTGCAGGAGCCACTTCCACATCGTCTTCGCCGACGAGGGTCACCGGCACCCGCAGAAGATTATGTTCAGGAAGCTCGTGGACGTGCTGGATAAAATCCCAGACGTGCCCATGACAGGCAACAGCGGGGGCAAGCGCTCCCCCAGGCGCGCGCGCCACGGCTACAAGGCCGGCAACCTGAAGATGTTCACGAAGTTGTGGACGGAGCAGACGCGGCAGACCACGCTGGCAGGCTGCGACACCGACAAGATTGCCGCGAAGGCTGCGAAATTGCGCAAGGAGGACCCAGATGGCAACAAGAAGGATCGGGCGACGAGGTCTACCCACCTGCACCGAACCTGGCCAGGCATCCTGGGCGCAGGATCAGTGTATATGCCGCCCTGGCCAAGCAAGGAGGGCATGTACGCCGAACCTGCGCCCAGGGTGGGCCGGACCAGGATCGATGAGGTGGATCAGTGGGGATGCGTACCAAGATTCCGCTTACATTCTGCCAGTGTGCCCTGGCAGGGCCCATCTCGATTCCTCCGATCCCATTCGATTCGATTTCGATGGCTTCCGCTTCCGATTCGATTCGGCTTCGGATGCCGATATGGATTCCGATTTCTCAATGGAGGCCTGCTAGTCCGGCGATTTCTGCCGGTTCGACTTCCGACGTGGCTGCCGATTCCCGCCGATCCGATTCACCAGGGCTGGACCTAAACGGTGTTTTTGGTGACTTCGTGGGCCGTTTTCATTTCGACTTCGTTTTGCGTACGAGGCGGATTGAAGACAAAACGAGGGGAAACGAAAACAAATCCAAAACGAAAACCACCGTTTAGGTTCAGCCCTGCGATTCACTTCGATTGCCGATCCGACCTGCCGATTCGATTTTTGGGACCTCCTGCCCTGGGGCTCTCTGCGGTCCGAGAGGCCTGCAGGGGGAAGCGGGGGGGATCCTTGCGCCCCGAATCCGCCCAAATCCGTTGCTTTGCAGGGTCTGGGTGTATGCTGTTCCAACCTGCCTCAGCCTTGACCACCAGAAATAATTTCGAGCGCCAGCAAAGTACCGAACCGGGAGAGTTTTCACCTGTCGGGCCCCGGTTGAGGCGATGCTCCTTCGACACGTTTTCGATACTGGGGTGGGTGCTCGAGATTATTTCTGGGATGCGGCCCTCGAGTACGATGGGAGCAGCAGAAGTCTGGGCCTCTCCGTGGAGACCTCTCGTGCCCGGAGCCCTGCCGCACAGCCGGCGCCCCGCGAGGAGGCCGACTTCTTGGAGGCCAAGATCGACCGGCTGGCCGGCCTCGAGGCCCTGCGCACGCTGCAGGTCAAACAGTGGCGAAGCGTCCTGGCGTCCCTACAGGCCTGCCAAACAATGTTCTAAGAACCTTTTGCGGTTTGCACGAAAGGTTCTTAGAACATTTCTGGCTGGGACTGTCTTGTTTTAACACATCGGGTCTATGTTCTAAGAACATTGTTGCTGTTATTAGAACATGTTTGGGTTCTAGGAACATGTCTTGGTAGGACTATAGGAATGCCAGGACGGTCGGTGCCTGCTCAAGCAGGTGCGCAACGGTTGGCCGAGGGGCTCCGACGTCGGGGTGGACGGCTACCACGAGGCGGCCGAGCTCGAGACCGCACTGCACGCACTCCGCGCGGAGCTGGCCGTGGGCGAGAAGAAGGTCGCCTGCAAGGCACGGGGGCGCCAACCGCACCGATGGTGCCCTCGGTCTGGTCGGGTCGGCCGCGTCGCAGGTCGGCCGCATCCAGTCGGTTCGGTCCGGTCGGCCGCTGCGTCGATGTTACGTCGCTGCGTCCATTCTGGCTGCGCTCGCTCGGTTCTGTTTCGTGTCGGTTTCGGTTTCGCCGCCGGTACGGGGTACGGTCGGTTTCCGACGGTGCCGTCGCCACGTTGGTGGCCCTGCATCTGCTCATGCCGATGATCCATAGGACGTGTGTTAGCCCAAGCGTGTGTTTACCCCGCTCGGTTCCGCCGCTCGCGCGCAGCCCGTGTCTGCCCTCGTTGCGCCGCCTGCGTCGTGCTGAAGGGCCTCGGTGAACAAACACATGCTGGCGCCAACACACTTTCTCCAAGCGTTTTCTTTGGGCGGAGGGCAAAGGGTGAAACCTGACATGCCGTTTCGATGGATTCACGAGGCCTGAATCTGCAAGAAGTGAACCACCAACGGATTGACTTTCGAGGTGCAAGGGTCCATATGGATCTCACCCTGAGCCCTCCGCCCTGAGGAAATGCCCAGTTTCTGAGGATCGTCGATCCTGCACCGCTTCCGGCCGCGCCGGCCCTGGGGTCGGGAGATCAGGTGGGTGGGGTGTTCTTTCCTGGCCAGGCCAGGCGTGCACTGGGCCGGGGCGGGCCCAGAGCGGCTAGGGCCACCCTGGGTCCAGGATCGGTGTGCACGCCCTGCTCGCTTGGCCAGGGAGGCATTTGTTTTAAAACTTATTTATTTATTTATTTATTTATTTATTAATTTATTTATTTATTTATTTATTTATTTATTTATTATATATATATATATATATATATATATATTTGTATATATATATATTCACCTATCTATAAGCACATATATATATACACATACATACACATATATATATTTATATATATATATATATATATATTCTCATATATTTATATTATATATATATATATGCACATGTATATGTCTATATTTACATATATATATATATATATATTATATATATATATATATATATGGAACTGGGTAGGGGGTCCTGGGGGCCCAGGGGAGTACCGATTTTGTACACGGCCGTTTTGGGCCCGTTGGGGAGCGCCAAAACGCGTTCAACTAGGGGAAGAGGGGCGACGAGAGGGCCCAGTAGACGTCCAAGAGGGCTCCAAGACGGCCCAAAAGCGCTCCAAAAGAGCCCAAGACCGCCCAAGAGAGTTCCAAGATGGCTTCACATGGCTTCAAGACATCCCAGGAGAGCCTTAAGACGGCCAAGAGACCCTCAAAAAGGAGTCCCCCAGACCCTCAGGAGGCGGACTGATCAACATGCTCGACGGTTTTTTCATGTTTTCCGTGCCCTGGCTTTTTCATGTTTCCGACGGGCCAAGGCAGCCCACGAGGGTCCAGAACTCGGCCCAAGACGACCCAGTGGGCTCCCAAAGGGCCCCGGGACGGTCCAAGAGAGCCCCCAGACGGCCCCAAGGCGATCCAACACGGCCTCAAGAAGGCCCTCAAGTCCCAAATGGCCCGAAGTCGGCGGTACCCCAGCATACAAATACGATGTGTGCGTCGTGCCCCCAGGGGCGACGCGCGCACCGAGAATTCTTATAGTGTATGCATCATGGCGGGCGCTTTCTGGCCGTACCGCTCGGGAAACGATATGCTACAAGATGGTTATACTATATGATCGGGTCGGACGTGCGCCTCCGAGGAGGACGTATCGTACTAGTATGTCTCTGTGCGTCCCAGCAAGAGAGCTCCAAAAAGGCCCCAAGATATCCCTCCAAGAGGGCCCCGACGCGGCCCCAACGACAGCTATAAAGCCCTCAGGACGCCCCAACAATGGGTCCCACAGGACGGCCCGACAGGGTGTGAAGAGGCCCCAAAAAGGGGCCTCCAAGAGGACACCCAAGAAGGCCCAGAGACGCTGAATGCACAACCGCCTCCTCCTCCTCCTCCTCCTTCTCCTCCTCCTCCCCCTCCTGACACCCAAGAAGGCCCAGGGACGCTAAATGGGCCAGCTCTTGCGCTCTGGGCCTCCTAGATGGGTTCCGTGCAGATGGGGTCAAAGGATCAGGCCGCATCGCCGATGCATCGGTGATGCATCGGCAATGCGGTTCGATGTGGGGCACAATCTTCTCCACGCCGACGTCGCCGATGCACCGCCGACGTCGCCAGTGCGTGGCCGATGCATCGGCGATGCATCACCGATGCATCGCCGATGTATCCGCGATGCGGCGCGGTTCTCCGACCCCATCTACTCGGACCCCATGGAGGAGGCCTCTAGGTGTTTCATCACGTAACGAGTTCCAAACACCAAGGATCCTAAGTGCGGACGGCGGTGTGAGCTCAAGACGGCCCAGAGAGATTCCCGAGATGCCGAAACGACGGCTTCAAGGCGGCCCAAGTGCTGCTCCAACCGCAGTTGATGCTTCTGCCTCCTCATCTCCCTCCCCGTCCTCCCTCTGCACCTCTTCGGAAAAAAACGCCGCTTCGAGATGCGTCCAGCCGCGGCGACGACGAGAGCCCCCGAAGACAAAACAGCTTCGGACCTCGATCCTCGCCCGGGGGCCCGGCACCTCGCTACCATCGCGCCCCCTTTTATGATACCCCCTCCCCAGGGCCTCCAAGAGGCCTCCAGACGGCCCACGATGGCCGCCAAGCAGCCTAAGATAATTCCAAGACCGCCTCAGAGGAACCAAACTGAGCCGAAGACGGCCCAAAAGGGCACCCAAAGCGCTCAGGATGGCCTCAGCACGGCTCAAGAGGTCCCCAAGACACCCCAGGAGAGCCCGCGCGCCCCAAAGAGGCCTTGATGAGGCCAAACACATTGATGTTCTTGAGGTGCTTGAAGGATGTTTGTTGTGCTTTAGCTCTTCCCGGCTTCCGACCGGCCAAGGCGGCTCCAAGACGGCACAAGATGGGCCCCAAGACGGCCTCGGCACAGCTCTACGAGGGCCTGACGACAGCTCAAGAGGCCCCCAAACTGGCCCTAAAACGGCCCCACGAGATTCCCAAGATGGCCATGCACGCCCCCTCCGTAGCCATTTTGGGTCAAGGGCTAGCACTCCGTGACCCCGCGTTCGAACTGAACATTCACTGCTACACTTCCACGGTATCCTCGTGAAAACGATGGCATACAAAGTAAGGGTTGCGATGCCCTTCGTGTTCGCGTCCATGGTTGGCGCCGAAATTCAGCTCATACAGACGTCTGCGCGGGGGCTGGTTGGAGATTTCACGTACTCCAACCAACGGCCAGTGGAGACGCCCGAGCCAACGCTGGAGGAGACGCCCGAGCCGACGATGGAACCCGGGGTTCCGTGCAGTTGCAATGTAACGTGCGGTAGCTTCCCATACTATGACACGGACGGCAGTGGCTGTCTTGAGCTTCCGGAGGTCGAGGCGGTGGACGGATTGGCTGGGAAGCTGGAGGTTTGGGATCTAGATGGCGACAACTGCCTCAACCAAACGGAGTGCGAAGCTTCCGACCTGCCTCCCTCGAATCCGCCCGTGCCTGTGCCGACTCCTTGCACTACATGCGCAGAGTGGCTGCAACCTGGCACGAGCGTTTGCCAATCGTGCGTTGGGGAGACCAGACGTCGTCGCGCTGATTCTTGCACCACGTGCGATACTGGCAAATTTGCCGTTCAAGCTTGCGACAATTGCATGGAGGACGATGCTATGTACCTCAATGCGAGTGCAGAGGTGGGCGACACCAGGATCTACGTTAACAAGCACACCGACTTGGGTGGATTCTCTCCGACCGTCGGGGATTCGATCACGATTTCAAAGTGCTGCTGTGAAAGCGCTAGCGACCACGGTACGTTTGTCATTACAGGCGCCGCGCCCAGCACCCCAGCCATCTCTTTCGACATTCCGGCATTGACCATGGATTTCAGCCAGTTCGACCGTGTTAGCAAGACTTGTTCTTCGACCGATGGAGTTGGCTATCCCAGTTTCTTCCCATGCGGATGTGGCTCAGAAATTTGTGGCGAGTCAACGAAGTGCGATATTACTGGCGCTGGTGGGTGCGGCACTTGTATTCCCACTACCTTGCCGACACCAGCCCCGACAGTGTCGGCCAAGGGCGACCCGCACCTGGTCAATCTGAATGGGGAGCACTTCGACGTGAACCACGGGGGCGAGTTTACTCTGCTGCGGATCCCCCAGAACATTATCCAGCCCGCCGAGGTGGAGTTGAAGGCCACTATCCTCCCTGAGCATGGGAAGCCGTGCACAACATACATCACCGAGGTGGAGATATCAGGCAGTTGGCTAGGCGGCAAGGTCGTGCAGGTGCGCTCCTACC